CACTGTCATTTTGAATAAATCATCTCTCTCTGGTGTGTGAGAAGGAGATCTACACGACAGACACAGTCAAGCAGCTGCCCATGACCACTTTCCACAGCAGAAATGGACACTAACTGTCCGATTATGGTCCTAGTTTGTCCCGCTGTTGCTCTATCTCCCTGCTGCCCTAAGCTCAGAGGTTGTTGTTAGTGCCGCTTTCTTTTGTGAGGCAGTTCTATACAGTGTTTTCCTCATCTTTGCAAAAACTACAAGCGTTTTCTGGCTTAACCAAGGACATTGCTGAATGACAAAAGTGAACAATACTTATTTTAATGACTCTGTTGTGGCTTTTTCCAAAGCAAGCATACTGCAAAGCAGTCCTATACACACTGTACTTAGACACCAGCCTCTGAGTAAGTATGAACTGTACTTATATTCAGTGGCTGATCAATATTCCACCATGGGGCTCGAGCTCCTAATAGAGTCTTAAATATATTTTTCAGCTTCTTGGATCTGTCACCTTATATGTGATGTATTTATATATGTATATATACACAAATTATTTTATATACAAAGAAAAGGAGTGCTCATGAATTTACATCGGGCATGCCCACGAATAAAAGTCAAAATGTCCATTGTGAAGGATGAAGGTGAGGCCATGAGGATCCCAAAGCCTCACAAAGATTCTTCATTAACTCATCATAGGCTGCTAGTGGTGTCCGTCACTGATAATCCAGTGTTTTTCAACCAAACCTCTGCAGTGTTGTCACAGCCACGCTGTCCTGCTGGGGGTAGCGAGTCAAAAACAAATGTCTTCCACACAGAAATAAAAGGATATCAAGGTAATTTCCCTCCTTTTGCCCTCAGTTCTCTCGATCCCATGTTTAGGTCCATGTAAGCTCCTAAACTGGTTTACCTTCAGGCAGGGCGAATGTCTTCACATAATGTTTTAACAACCTCTAAATAACCCCTGCTAAGCTTTTTTTTTTTCAGTTTTCGAGAGGGAGACAGAGTGAGGGAAACGGAGGGAGAGTAGGTCGGAAACTGGCCACAGCTGTGTGGAAGAGGAGAGTCACCAACATGGGGCTCATTGATCAAACAGGGGATTAGTCTGGTTTCAAATCCTTGGCACCACGCGAGCAAAGCTGTTTTATCTGGGTGGATATCCTTTCTGTGGTCCCAGGTAATCCAGTCAGTAGCCGTGGATGTGATAGTTTTAGTCCGTTCGGTGGGAAGAGAAAGGGTAGATGAAGGGAAGAGCCTGGCACGCGGCCCTGCAATGGGAGCTCTCTGTTAGGTCCTGGGATGAATCTGCAACACAGAGGAGGAAGAGGAAGGGAGAGAAAACACACATACACTTAGATAGAACAAAGGCATACAAGCGTGCGAGGATTAGACCCAGAGGAATTGCTCCGTTCGCGTGTTTCAAAAACAAGGGGGAGTCTTTTGAACTGTGGAGGCTTTGTACAGCCCCGTCTCACCTCCCGGTTCCCGCTGCTACTAAAAACAGACAGCTTATATGAGTGGAAACAGCACCGAAAATGGAGGTGTGTTTGGCATTTATAGGTATACTGGGATATATCTGGAAAGCTCTTTGTACAAAAAATCCCTGGTGTGTTTCCATGCTGTGTATGTCTGATTCACAAATTGATATTTTTGACTTTATCTCAGACCATTTTAGCCACATCCCCAACACCCCCAGCTTGCCCAACCCACACCCACAACCACTCTTGGGTGCACCTTCGTACCAAGCCAGCCAATGACAACTGAAGATTTTCCTCCAACCCGATAAAATTACTTTGGCTTTGCTAAATGGGATCAGGGCTCCTGCTGTGGAGTCTGAGCTGTCTCTCTGTGACTCTGGTTCAGGGACACTTATTCAGCCTCAGCTGCAGACCAGGACACATTTCAAAGGTACATTGTGCAACCTTGAGACTGCTATTGAACATCCCTCTTTTCAGCATCCTGCTCAACCTAGAGCTTGATAAAAACTGTGTGCATGATGTCTACAACAGTTGAGTTCCTTGCCCCCTTATGATCGTCTATGCAGCAAAAGCATGTAATTGTTTTCCGGAATATTTCTTTACCTCACTTTCATCACATTTTCCACTTATTTACCTGCTTTAAGATTGAGCAGTTGGACTGGAAACCTAAGTTCCCAGCACACTGTGGGGCCAATTAGAAATCCCATAATCCTGTTCAACTAAGAAATACAGCCATGACATTTCCAGCAGGCTTGGCAGGTGGTAGCCAGGTGTGCGGATTTGACTGTGTAGGATGATGCTTGGGACTGTGTGAGCTGTAGCACATAGAGAATCTCAGTGCGCCAATATGTTGGACATGCTGGCGAGAGCGCCAAATGAGTTTACTGACCACGCTCTGTGGGTACCGTGCGCACCTGTATTCACCCACTGTATTGTGTGTTACTGGGAGATTATGCTTCAAAGAACAATCAGAGAGGCAGGAGACTCTCATGCATTATAATTTGGGTTTAATTTAGCAATGAGCGTGTATGAAAACACAATGCAGTGCAGTTATAATGTTGTGAGACTGAGTCTGATTTGGCAGATTTATTTGATACACTACAAAAAGTTTTACTTTTGGCAAATTATGTAGGTCATTAACTCTTTTTTTTCTGCCAATGGGGTGCACTTCTTTCACCAGTTTTAAACTTAAATCAACATACGTAAAGATTTTTCTGAAATCATTTGTGGCTCTGCCTTTTCTCCTTCAAAGGGCACTTTGCTGATTTTCAACCAGCTTTGTATCATAACAATATGGACAGTTTGTGTAAATGAACTACAGTAAAGCGTCCCTCTGCAGCGTCCAGATATCCCTGCTCATCTCTTAGCTCAAATTGTCGCCATTGCTGGCTCTAGGGTTTCTTGAACTTCAAATTGGGCTTCTTTATTTTTGCCTGCCACCACGTACACACACAATATAGAAGCAGCTCAAGAAACATAAACATAAACTAAGATTCTGTTACTGCATTGCCTATTTTTCACCGAAAATGTTTTCAGAAACATATTTTAGTGCACTGTTTGGCAGTAAGATGAGAGTTTGTGAACAGAAAGTGGGCACCATATTGTTGCCTGTTGCCTGGTGCTGATCAACCAAGCCAAAATTCTGTTACTGCGTTGCCTATTTCTTGACTCAAGTGTTTTCAGAAACATATTTTAGCTCACTGTTTAACTGTAATTCAAGATCATTTGTTACCAGCCGGCTGCTATATTGTTCTTGGGGAAGCCTCTTGCATTACATCACCCACCAGTGGGAGCATTTACTGGTCTGGTGTAGTGCAGTGTATTCTAGTTGTTGTAGGTTTTCTACCTCTTGAGCAAAAGCAAATACTGCAGCCCTGTTCCTCTGTTTTCTCTGGTCATGTAGCACCAATTTAAAAAGTAATGTGAAAAAAAAGCATTCTCTTTGACATGATTCTGACATGTTTATATATATATATATTGCTGGAGGTGATCCTTTGTAAGCCCTATGAAGTTTTCCTGCCTTTTAATATTTAGCTTTAAATGTAACCCTACTGTCAAATCCTTTTGTGAGTTATTATGAGTTATACATACATACATACATACATACATATATATTCAATATTCTACAACAATTCTTATTTTATTTCACTGTTGTTTCCTTTTTATTTATTTGGCATTGAACTGTTTTTCTTGTTACAAACATGTTAATTATTTATAGTACATATGTGTTGTTGTTGTTTTTGTCTAGTAGGGCTATATCAATATATCATGTGACATGCATGACATGACCTCTTAAATTGCACTCCTGTTTCTAGTGCATTTTACACCCTGATGAAGACTCTGTAGTTGAAACCCGTTGCTTTATCAATGTATTGATAAAGGATTTTTAACTACAGTTGGAGTGCCTTGGATCCATTTTAGGACTGCCTGCCTGTACTTTGGAGTTTTACAGTTAGTGAGCTGGCCAGTCGTTGTTTTTTTTTTTTTGTTTTTTTTTACCAATTTATAAAAATATTTGTCTTTCTACTGCATAGGCAGCCCAATTTTAGGAAGGAACCATCTTTCCAGGAGTAAAATACTTCTTTAATCAAGGTGTGTCTTCAGTCATGTTAGTTTGTTAGCAGGACTGTTAGTATCTTAAAAACCTGCTGAAAGATTTCAAAGACATTTGAGGCCTTTGTGGAGGAGTTAAGTCTGGTGATATGTCAAGGACCAGAACACAGAACAGAAGTGAGTCCAGGTGCAGATTGAGGAATGTTGTCACATGAACGTCTGCACTTATTTGAATTAATTAATGAGATAATTGCCCATTATCATTTTTGTTTCTTTCTTTCTCATATCTTTTACACCAGTATTATGGACAGTAAACAATGACATATCTAAGATGTCAGAATGAAGTGGTCTATGAAGAGGCATACAAACAATAGGAACACAAATCAAATGAATTCTGTTAACTCCTCCAAGTTTGATGTAATCGAGAATCTACTTCGCCATCTCTTTTTTAGGGGGGGGGGGGGAAGCGCGCTTCTGCTTAAACAACTTGCTTTGTCAGTGGGAATTTGGTGCTGCAGGTAGTGGGGCTCCAGACAGCTGTCCTACAGTAAGTGTGTTAAATATCAGATGCCAGAAATCTATTAAATTTCGAAAAGGCCAGACTATGCGAGTGTGGTTAGTGGGCAACTACTTGCATATTATTTCTATTTTTGATGCAGATTAATAATTTCTAAACATTTCCTGTTACTAAAATAGATCTATCTTGTTTGATGATACGGATTCTAGAAAGTTCCTGAAACAATAGAAGCATCACTAGAAACAAGTGGAACCCCACTGGCAGCTTTCTATTCAAAGAATGTTTTTTTGAAGACAGAATGACTTGTTAAGACAGATGTCAAAATGAGCTGTCTCTCAGCCTGATGTTAAGGAAACCCTTAGCAGCACTGACGCACTCCCTTGCTGACTACATCATGCTTATTTAGTTAGGCTAGTTGTATGGCAGCTGTTCCCCGGTGTGCTCTAAATAGCTTCACAGTCTCCGATTTAACATGTTGATTTCACCTCCAGGTCTTTTGACAGTGTCTCTCTCTGTACGGATTGGGTCCCTTTTTCCCTTTGATCCTTAAACACAGTAATCCTCTGGGCTCATCTGTCCGGCATTTGCATCTGTATCATCTACTGTACAACGACATATCAGAATGTTATAGCAAAGAATGACCTCTGTCAGAACAAGAGCAGTAACAGGTTACACATTACGGCTCACTCTCCATCTCAGAAACAATCCACCAGAGGTTTGTTAGTGGGAGAAGAGGGGTTGTATGCAAATGCTGTCATTTCCACCCATGTGCGTGTGTGTGAGTGCGTGCGTGTGTGTGTGTGTGTGTGTGACTGAAAGTGTCCTCTGTTCTTTTTTGTCCTCTGTCTCTTCAAATGAACAGTGCAGCAGGTAGCAGCGGATTGCTCAAGGATTTCCTGCCTATCCCATCCTTGCTGGCAACTAAGCCGTCTGCATTCTAATTTTCTGGCTGCATTAAATTGCAATTTACTCAGTCTTCAGTTAGTAAAAGGAGCCAAGGACAATTGCCTTAGCAAAAGAATTTAGTGCAAACACAGCCTACCCTTTCCCCCCTTTCTTGTTTAGTGCTGAACAAATCAATCATGCCAGCTGAGAAACCTCTTCAAACAGCACTAAACAGCACCTTCTAAAAACAGAAGACTCAGACAACAAAATACATTAAGATCCATTTAATGTGACATTGACAATGGAAAAAGAAAATGGGTTTAAATTAATCAGTAGCACTCCTCCTCCCCCTAAAACTGTATAAAATGTCAACCTGGCCATTCTTAGCAGCGTGTTCTGCATCTGTCGGCTCATAATTTCATACGTTTTTAAAAAGCATTTTATTACTCATCTCAAATGACACACTGTTTACCATTTGTGTATGGTTTTATGTTTATCATTGTTATGACATTATACAGGACTGAAGGAGGAGGAGAGGTGTTGTCAAGCACAGAGATGGAACAGATGATTTGTCGGTGGAGTTGAACTGTCTGTGGCATGGCCGCTCTGAGTTCATTTTTGATCAACTGCAGCGTGCGGTCTCCCGATTTGACAAATTATAGATGGTGATGCGTCTGCTGGCAGGTCACTTTTGCTCTGAAACTGTCTCGCAGATGGGCTACATCCTGTCACAGTGTGTTATTTTGTTTGAAAAAGTGCCCCTCTGCTCCTTTTAATAAGGGACATGTGGATCTCTGAACAGCAAGTAAATCATGCCAGACAAGTTGAACGGAACACACACTGCAAAGTGTGAATGATGGTGGTGAGTTCAATGCTTAGCACTCACTGATTTGAACAATTACAGACTCCATAGTAGAAATGCTGTGGCCTTATGCAGTTTAAAAATACAATTGTACATGAGTTGCACTGTGAAACAACTAAAAAAAAAAAAAAAAGCCATTAAAATTCATTGAATGCCTGATGAGGATTGTATTACGTGTGTATGACATTCCTGCCTTGATGACAAATTCATATTCAATCTACCACACTAACAGTGAGGTTATCAAATGAGCATAATTCTTCTCGCTATCATGAAAAGCAGGGGAGAAGAACGAATAGGAGAGGCGATGTTTTCATTACAGCCCCGCTCGTTCTGCCTGTCTCTCTTAAGGTGTATAATTGTTCGGAGGGAGCAGAAATGGATTGATCTATTCAGTAAGCAGAGCGGGTAATGCAGATCTATGGTGGGCGAGTGTTTTTGGAAGATGCTCCCCAGTCTCGCTCTCACTGTGACTTCCACAAACAAAAGGGCCTGCCTTGTCTGCTGCTACAGAACAGGCAATGAAGGGCTCCCTCTCTGAAAGACATAAAGAAAGAAAAAGAAGAAACATGGGTGTCAGGCACTGGCTTTGTTTTGGCTTCTTACTTTTCATGCCCCTTTTTTATGAAAGATGGCAATGGAGTCTTTTTAACCGTGAACATGTGTGTGTGTGTGTGTGTGTGTGTGTGTGTGTCCGCCTGCCTTATTGTGCTTCACTGACACTTTTCAGAGCAAAATGAAAAACCTGCAGGTGAAATAAAAACGGCTGAGAATTAAAAGAACCCAAAAAAAACAAACAAAAACAATGCTGTGTTGTGAGCTTGCTGGCTTGTGACGGCACAAATACAAATGAGGCAATTTGGCCTGAGAGGCAGGTGAATGAGGAATGTTGATTAAAAAAGAGAGCAGAGTGCAGGATAAAAAGGCCTTTCATGTAGCCTGTGGGCTATGCTGTGCGCTGATAGCTGCTTCAACAAGACCTCAGAGGGGGGATCAGGATATCAAGTGGCCTCTGATAAGAAGCCACACAACGAAAAAGGGAAGAGACCTGCCCGGGGGTCTTGTGCACAAACGTGTGAGCACGCGCACACCAACACACACACAGACACACACACACACACACACACAGACATATCAAACACATCAAACATGTGTGTTCATACACGAGCACACACACAGAGGAGCAAGTAGCATGTCACAGATTAGCGACTAATGGGATTGGCAGACCTGCGTGAGGCACTGTAATCAAGCCCACACAGTGGCCGATAGCAAAAACAGGACATGGAACAAAGGAGGCAATGAAAGGAAGTGCAACTGATCCTGCCATTACACTGTTCACAGACAGCAGGGTTCTGCTAAGGGGTGGACCTGGCGCTGTGTGTGTGTGTGTGTTTCTACAGTACTCCATGAGTGCTGCAGCACATGCACGTTTACCCATCTAGGTATCTTTTACATGAAAATTTGTACTTTTTATTTATGCGTGCGCTGCCTGTGCGGAGTGATAAATATTTACAGTGGGTGGCGGTGCGTTCAGTATTTGTGTCACGCCTGCCTAATCATGCACAGCATGTAAACACACACTTGATTATTTCGCACATGAGTATTTGGGTTAATGAGAAGTCATTGAACATGAGTTGGTCCCACTTCTACCGCCCGACACTCAAGTGCAGTACAGTGATGTGTGTGAGAGAGAGACGGGAAAACAAAAACAAAGAACAGCTTGAGAAAAAGACTAACCTTTACAGAAGCAAGAATGCAGCTCAATTTCTGTTGACCCATCCTCTGCATTTTGCTTCCGGAAGCTAAAAAGGGGAGTATGGCTGGGTGTTCTGCAAAGAGAGGGTCAAGAAAAAAGGACACGTGTGTATTGGGTAGAAAAGCAGCTTCCGGCCTGACCTTTTGGCCCTCTTCTTTTCAGGTTTTAATAAAATTAGACCAAAGCCATTTTACTCATAGATATGCATTAATGCTCCTCCTCCACTTGTGTGCAGAAATGTACAATCTTGATTAATGTATCTTAAAAATATATATAATCTGTTATATAAAGAAAATCACGTTTTCAAGTTTACTTATTTCAAATTGTGCAAAGGACTGAATTGAGAATTAGAGATGCATTCTTTAGAGTGAACCAAGTACCACACCTTACCTTGACAGGATGGCAAGACCACATTCGATCAACTTCTTTCTGAAAATTTTGGGCCTGTGGTGTCTGTGAAGGGGTCCAGTGAAAGCTTTATGTCTATCTGCTGACATATAAATCTGCAGAACAACCTTGGGAAGCCCCGTGTGGTCTAACCTTCACTGGCTGCTCCCTCATTCCCTACCAGCACATTAGTCTCTGCTTCTATTCAAAGTCATTGTCACCAAGCTCTAAGAGAAGACAGGAGGTTTGCTGATCGCGAGCAGGTGTAGGGGGGTGAGTCAATTAAATGAATACAAATCGGGTGATCAACCTGTCACACAGTGCTGGACTGCTGGCTTCGAGGACTTAACTCCCCTTCATTATTTTTGCATGCCGCATTCGGAGTCAGTTTACAGAGCCAAAAGGCAGTGGAGAAGGAGAGTGGCAGTTAACTTTATCTCTGAGAGGAGTGTGGCCTGAGGCAGAGCCCACCTGTTTGTTTACTGCCTGCTTTATGTTTGTTCTTTACTACTATGGGCCCTTAGATAGGTTGCTTACACCTAACAGAGTCCACCTTGTTATATTGAGGGCACAGATGTGCTTTTTAAGTATTCTCTATACAGTGTGACACATCCTTTTAACCCGCAGCTTTGACACTGCGCTCGTTTGATTGTTACATGGCAGAAGATTAATTAAAAATTAAGCAGGCATTTGGCAGGGAAGCTTTGTTAAAGCATTTAATCAAAGTATTCAAACACAGCCGCCTGTTATTTCCAGTAATTTAAAGTCCAAGAAGAGAGGCTGAACTGTAAAGTGAAACCTGTCTGACATTTGGGCACATACTCTATGAAAATGTGTGCCTCTGTGAACACGTTGATATGTTTGTGTGTGCCTGGGTTAGGGCTGCACAATTAATCAAATTATTATCTAAATCATAATATGACCATGTGCAATATCCAAATCGCAGGAGCTGAAACTTTAGAGGTAAAATGTGTTACAATATACAAATTAAGCATTGTGGTGCTAGAGAGATGCCCTGGCCTACAAATCATACTTGTTTGGTACAGTCTCCAGCAAATAATGACATCATCATCATTTTTATATTATTTATTTTTAACATTTTCAGTGAAAATGAAACGCAAAATCTACCAGTCCCACTAAAATCATAACTCATATTGCAATCGCAATATCTGTCAGAATAATTTCAATATGATTGTTTTGGTTTTTTTTTTGGACACTGTGTAGCCATAGTCTGGTTTAAATGTGCATATACAGCACAGAGCATATACAGATCAGGCGTATGCATCTGTGCATTGCGAGTGTAGGTCTGTGCATGCAGGCTGAAGTGTGTGTGTGTGTGTGTGTGTGTGTGTGTGTGTGTGAGGTCTCACTCTTGTAGTCTTGATTTTGTTCCCAGAGGAGCACATCCATCCAGAGTTGTCAGGCAGAGTCTTACACTCCTCTCCCTCCAGACACGGTTCCATCTCACACCACCATTTCCCAATTACAATGGACGCTGGGGAAGGTGAGCACAGACATGTAACAAGGCAGGTTAGTTTATCACACAGACACATGTGTACACACTCTGTCAGAATCACAATAAGAATGGGCTTCATTGGCCAAGTATGTGTGTATGTGTGTATATATAGGTGTACAGAAATATTTATATTACGTTTTGTATTTAAACTACCAAAATATAATGTACTTGGTATTATAGTGTTATTTTATGTATGTATGTATGCATGTATGCACATACAGATGCCAATATAAATACTGATAATACTAACCAAAGAAAAAAAAGAAAAATTGTTTTTAAAACTGAACCTTAGATATATACTATAATTTAAATCCTTTTCAATCACAGTTACTTCACATAGAGGAGAAAATACACACTTACAAGTACAAGTATACATGTATATCTATTTACGGAGAGTGGGTAAAAGAAGGTTAACCTATCAAAATTAGTTTTTAGCAGCTGCTTAAACACACCATAAATTCAACAGATCTGATGCAATGAGGAAGGCTGGTCAAGTTTTGTAGCTTCAGCCACAAAAGAACTGTCACCTCTGGATTTAAGGATAAACTGTGGAAGATTTTCCCTAAAAAAAAAAAAAGTATAGACTCTCTCTCTCTCTCTATATATATATATAGTATAGTATAGTATAGTAAAGTATATATATATATATATATATATATATATTATACATATACTATAGCAGAATTAACCCTTCTCAGTTATCACTTATGACCTACTAGAAGTGTGTGGTGGGGTATTTTTCTGCAGAGACTCTGTCCTCTGCCTGTATTTTCTTAGATTCTGTGTTTGGGACGTTTATGGGCGTGTACCCCCCACAGCGCTCAGGTGAGGTCGGGGCTTTATTAATAAGGTAGCAACCAGGTACCAGACAGTAAGCAGCAGCCATCCAATAGACACAGAGCCAAAAACACTCTAAATATAGCAAGCAAAACGCCAAATGAGAGTAAATCTGGGGTTTTACTTTCATTCTGGCAAGTGTTTTCACAAACGGTAACCAATAATCTTGCACAGCATACCTTTGAAAAGACGATCAGCATCAGTAGCTGACAGTTTAAATAAGGGCTCAACAACTATACTATATATACAAGGGCGAGGCCATGCAAGGCTTTTAAGTCACTAGAAAAAAATTAAAATCAATTCTGTATTTTACTAGAAGCCAATGAAGAGCGACAAGAATTGGGGTCATGTGGGACCAACGACTAGTTTCTGTTAAGAGCCTCGCCACTGCGTCTGCAACAACATATAATGAGCCGTGAAAGTAAAATAAACAATAAAAAAGCACAATTAAAAACATAAAGAGTAACCAGAGTTTAAAATGTAGGTGGAATCATCAAAAAAAAGTCGAACACATGCCCAAATCTCCCACGCAAGCATATTTTATGTACATATTCTACACAGGCACACATATGCGCACACATACACCAGCACCCACACACTATATTACAAGCTACTCCAGAGGAACACCCAGCCAAGTCTCTAAATGGATGTTTTTCTTCCTTCTTCGGCCTCAGAGCAATTGTATCGTTGCTGCATGGGTACTTTTTGCTGTCGACAATAATGTCTTATACCAACAGAAATTAATCATTATTTTGTTTTGATATAGCTACATTGCATGTAGGGGAGCAATCTCATTTTTAATCAAAACTAATTGCCTCTCATTAACATCGACTGAATTCTTCCTCCAGCTATCTGACAAAAACAAATATGTTCTCATCTTCTCGTCAAGATCTCCCTCCCTCCTCTCCTCTTCTCCACACGTCTCTGGGCGTACAGTGTGTGTGTGTGTGTGTGTGTGTGTGTGTGTGCATGTGTGTGTGTGCTTCTGGAAAAAACAAATCTGAAATGTGTTACAGGTGTTGGATGATAGCACAAAACACCTTTCATGATATGTGAGACGTCCCTACAGAAATCTTTTAAATATGTTTTCCTAATTAACTTACCATCGTCCATATGTTCAATTAATCACATGAGGAAATGCTTGATGCGTTTGTAATGAACAACTGTATTACGTGCTGGAGTATATACAGTAAGCAAGCTAAAAAGCACTGTTGCACAAATGCATTTCATGTAGTTCTCTGGTGTTTCATTCTTTTTGTTAAAACCAGACGTCTTGCATGGTGAAGCTCTCTTTGAATTAAATTATGGCACACAAATCTAAACCATTTCTGAAAGTTCTGTTTCATTTATTAAAGATGATGTCTGAAGAACTTTTTTGTCTCTCGCACTCCCTCTGAGGTTTCTGACAGCAAAAGTTCAAAGCAGTTTTTCAGGTGAGAAGTCATATTTTCCCCAAACAGATTTTTTTTCAGCATGTAGTATGTTTTCTTAAAATTTCCTTTCATCATGTTAACATAAAGAGGATATGAAGGTCAAATGACTGAATGCGATGAGTTTAGCCAGTATCATTTCATTTTCCAAACCCACTTTTTTTTAACCACTGGAAAAATATCTTCTCCCCTCCAGCTTGTGTTGCCAAGGTTACAGACCAACCACCAATCAATTGTGAGTATGAGCAACATGCCGTTTCCAACTGATGAAAGAAGACGGTTAAAGTGCAGTCCCTCACAGCACAGAGCGTGCTGCAGTCCTGTGTGAACAGACAGACAGACACAGACACACACACACACACACACACACACACACACACACACACAAACACACACACATGTGAATATGCCAGAGTGGACACAGAGCAACAACCCACTGCTGCTTAGTGAACTTGCTGCATTTCCTGACTTCCTCCTTCATTTTCCCCTCCATGAGCCCCGAGGATACTCACTGCCAGAATAAGAGCATCCACTAACAGGCTGTGAACCCGCCCTTTGGCTCCCCCCATGGCTGTTTACCTTATCCACTAATTACCACATGTTGGTCCATCATCCACTGTGCTCCCTCTCTCTCTCTTGCCTTCTCTCCCTCTGCCCTCATCCATGGGCTAAATATGCGTTTCACATCATTAATCATGTTTACATTCAGCTGTGGTTTAGGTGCAACACCACAACTAAGGGTTGCCACTTAACAGGACTTAGCAGTCTCCTTGTTAAGTGGCAAATTATGACTAGGCTTGAGGAGATGTGTTTAATCAGTTCCACCGAGTGATGATGATGTGCCGCGACACCACCACTCTGTTTAGCCCTGTCTCCTGGGTACACAGTGAGGAGGGGGTATGGAAAAGTTGTTTTTCATTATGCCACCAACTGAGGAGGATTTATATTTAACAATATGAATGAATCTGCTTGAAATTTAAAAATGGTAAAGTAATAACTGCAAAGCAAAAATCAGTTCCTTAAAATGGAAGCAGAGAGAAAGCAGGAAAAGAGTGAGAGAGAGGGAGAGGGAAGGAGGAAAAACAACGCAGGAGCTGCTTCACATGAGGTGCTGAGAGATGAGAGGCGCTTTGCATGAAAGATGAATGATATTTACTGTATTTCACAGAACTGAAATCACCTCAGCCTCTGTGCCCTGAAATGTGTGCATATGAAGCCTCAGTGATTTATACAAGGAGAGTCCAGGAAATGGCTGAATTACTTTGCATTACACATTTTTTCACAGTTACTGTGTTCACTATTTATTTCTATGTTTGCCAATATTACATTCCTGTACAGTGTTTGTCTTTAATAAGAAAGGAGCCACTCCACAACCTGGATTATTGATTTTTATCTCTACAAGGCATGGAGAGGTTCATGTGTTTGGTAGTGTGTGTTTGTGTGTGTGCGCATTTGTCTGCCTGGAGCTAATTGCACAAACTACTGGACCAGTCAGCCTAATATTTATTGTGCACTGACCTCTCATGGTTGCGGAGATTCAAAACTGTTGAAAAAACAGTTTTAATGACTGTTTTATGCCATCATTGACTGCTGACTCCTCACTCCTCTTAACCTGCCAGTTGGGTTCGTGATTCTTGCGGAAATCAGCTCAGCTTTTTTACCATCTGTTGCAGGCCAAATTTTGGCCTTCATTGTGGCTCAAAAACTGTCATCTATAGAAAAGTTTGATCTCATTTTGAGCGACAGCATCTGCAGATTAATTCCATACCTGACATGTCATGACCCACTTTTATCTTTGATGACATCTTCACTGTGAAGGCCAAAACGCAGCACAATAGAAAATACACCCCTATTATTTTCAATGTACAACCTCACACTGGTGGCTAGACGTGCATTGACACTCCTGGACGCACTGCCTTGTGGCACTTTACACCACTGTCCTATTTCTAGCCTTGCCACCCCTGAAATTAAATGCATTTTTCCCCCACTGGGTCTCTGCTTGTACATACTGACTCCTGTAGCAGCTCTTTTTCTCTGCTCCTATGGCAGCTCAACTCCTCTCCTCACCACTGATGTATCCACCTTATTTTCAAACACGGAAGTAAATAGTGATCAACTTCCGTTTTTTTTGTGCGTGACTTCCGGTCAGCCGCTTTCCCTCATGCTTTCTCTTACCGGAGCTAACAGTGCAAGCTATTTTTTTTCAATTTTCAGTTGTTTATGTTAGTCAATCAGTTAGTTAGTTAGTCTGTGTATTTTATATAGATAACCGTGCCCATGGTTCCGTTATAACAGAAATTTATTCCCTCTAAACGTGAATAAATCGCACGTCAATCAAAAACTATGAACCAAAAAAGCACAATCTATCCCGAGTGAGACAAACTGCTTGATCCCCATCTCCAGTGTACCAGCAGAGAACCTGCAGAACCGAATCAGCGAAAAAACACACCAGGCTACACAGCGTCTCCACCTGAGCAGCTGAAGCTGCGGCTCGCACCCTCGACACACAGACACACAGACACACAGACAGTGCTTCTGCATGCCAGCCAAACGTGTGCGCAACTGTGAGAAATAAATATGTGAGGTGTACGCTGCTTTTCTATCTTTTTTTTCCCTTTTCTTTCTTTCTGTCAGCGACATACACTCCTAACACAGGACGGGTTGTTTTAATTGACTGAGTTGATCATTAAGCCATAGTGATGTGCGGATCGG